TTATATATTGGTATATATTATAACTATATGAAAATCTAATAAAAAACTAATATGATTTAACAAAGTTTTTATATAATGACGGTATGTTATATATATGAATGTCATGTACATATGAATATTAATATTATTTACAGTTTTCGATGTTATCTTGAATTTAAATTAAATTTTTAAATATATTTTACTAATGTAAAAACTAAATAAAGTGTCTCACATTAATATATATGAAATTGTTGAAATTTACGAAACCCTCCCAGCTTAGTTACTTGCAGGGTATATGAGCTCAGCACAAATTGAACTTCCGAAATTTGTGCTGATGTGGCAACGCCATCTATGCACCTTTAATGGCCTACAGCCCTACAGCTAGCACCAATCGCATAATGCAATCAAAGTGGCTGCCAGTTGGGAGCAGCTGCTAATGCTCGCGATAAGCATTTAGTTAAATGCTCGCAAGTGCTCCATTAGCGCTAAAAATGCAATATACATGAATGTTCAGTATGATGTTTGCTGCACAGCTGCAACTTCGGAAAGTTTTAACTGACAATTGCCTGAACAGGCTTCTCAAGTAATTTAAGAGTATTTAGAGAATTGGCGTAGGCATCGCTATTCTCTTGCATATATGTAGCTATATAAATTTATGGTAACTCTTACCTTGGCAAAGATTTTTCCTTATGAATTCACGTGCCAATCAATTAGAGGAGCAACAAGACTTTGACATTCACAATGTTTGTTTGACATTCAATTTTCTGTCACTTATCGATGAAGCAAACTGCGTCGCCTACTTCGCAATTGCAAAGCATAATTAGCCCAGTTGAACAAATATTTGCCCCGTTTGATATATTGATTATTAAGCCATTTTCTGTTGACCTTCACTTGCCGCCGCGACTGTAATTCGAAATTCAATTTATTAAAATTCTCCCTTTATACCCTGAACTTTTTTTTTATTAATGCGAAAAAGGGGTATATTCCTTTTGCAGGGTAATGTTCAGAATAAAATAGATATATAAACAAGTAATATATGTTATATTAATAAATTAATATTAGTTGTATAACTAAAAATTTATATTATATTCATATTACAAATGTTGACACATTAAATTTGAAGTTCATGTTCCAGTACTAAAGATATATAATGGAATTCTAACATCAATAGCTGAAGTATAGAAAAAAACTCAAAATGTATGCAGAGGATCTGAGCAGGTTATAGAGTATAGTCTAGTTGTGGAAGTCTTTATGTTTTTGCTTGTTTATTATATATTATGTATAAATCCGTGCGTTCGATAACATTATCGGTTGAACAGCTGTCCATTTAAATGCTGAAATGATTCTTATGTCTGCAATATATTTATAGCATTTATGTATGTAGCATTTAAATACGTCATTTATCAAAATAATTATTTAATAAAATATAATATATGATATTTATTTTGCTATAATTGAGTCTCAAATAATAATTGAACATTTCTTTCTCTCTCTTTGCAGGTGCTCTAGCGACTAAATAGAATTATGGCAAAGCCCGCAATAAACGTAAGTTTAGTAGAATAAGGGAATAAAGAAATCAGAAAGTGGAATAATATAATTAAGTAAAATGTTTGAATTGCATTTTAGATAATACCGCAAAGTCGGCTAGCCATGTCCCCAATCGGCCGCCCACAGCGTAGAACAATCAAAAGGTGTTAAGAACTATATAGTATGTACATATGTATTTAAATATGTACGTATATAGAGTATAATGCTTGTAAAGCAAATTATGCATAAAGCAAAAGACGAAAATAATTATAGTATTGAAAAGTTGCAATCAAAACCAAACGAATGAAATCAAAATACCAAAGAAGAGTGACAAAACCAACACGCAAGAAACAACAACACAACAAGAAGAAGAAGAATAAGAACTAGATGACTAACACACACACACACAACAGCAACAGCAACAGCAACAAAATGACTGGAAGTCTCAGCAACAAAATGGCACTGGGAAAATCCATTAAAATGTACCTGACCATATTCGTAGCCACGACCTGCATCTATATGGTGCTCTATCAATATCATTTGTCCCGACAGCCACTCACGGCCAACGAGGTCGTCAAGGTGAGTGACCTAACTCTCTGTCAAATTGATGGAAAGTTCTAAATATATATATATAGAGAAAGATGCAAGACAGAAAATGATAGACAGAGATAGAGAGAGAGAGATGTTGTAGATTGATTGATAAGAATCTATTGATAAGAATCAGCGTCAAATGGTTTCTCATGTTCTATGCGCCATTGATAAGTTCCTGAGAACTGAGTAGTACAATCAACTCAAGTCGAAAATGACCAGTAGATTGATATATATATTTATATAGATGCACCTTCTAGTTAATTGAGTAGAACTGCGCACTTTGATTGCATCCACTCTTATATTAAGTAGGTAATTAAAGATTGCATGCTTGACAAGAGAGAACTCACTTGGAATTAATATGGGTAAAGGCCTGGGTACATTTTATTTGTATTATTTAAAAATATTAATGAAAGGCACAAAATATTATCAAGCTAAGCCCTATTTGAAATATCGAACTCGCTCAAGTATGTTGTATAGAGATGAAAGGATGAGTTATGGACTTTCTTTATATAATTTATTGTAGATCACCTCAAAATAAACTACAAATTTAAGATCAAAGTTTTAGAAATTGAAGAGTGTATTACAAATAACAAAAGACTTCTCGTGCTTTGTAGTGCTTCACTCTTCTCAAAATGCTCTTTTCGACATCCAATATGTTAGGCTAATGTTAATTTAAATATTAAATTGGTAAATTGGTATATTCACAATAGGCTAGTTCCATTTCTATTTAAAAGAGCTAATTCTTGCTTTAGAGAGAATGAAAGAAATAACTTTAAAAAGCAAAGCCTCTTAACAAATGTTTTTCTATGATAATAATAAGACGATCTTTGCAAATGGAATATATTGAAATATTCCAAATGTTGCTAGGAATGTTTTTATACTGTCAAGATAATTTAATGTATTTAATCCAGTTTTATATCAATATTTCATTAGTTATTCACGTAGTTCCCTAGGAATACCTATTTCTATAGTTTTTAATATCTATTCATTCAGCCGTCAATCTCATATATATATACAAATGTGTCTTTTGTTCTTGCTCTTAATCACCATGCCTAACTCCAACACAACATCCAATGTGCATCAATACAGTCTATGCAGCATCCAGAAAAGACATCATTACCATCATCTTCATACATCGCTTCATATTTGTGGGCGCCCATGTTAAATAGCTCCGTCATTAATGGCACAATGGGAGTAGAACAGGTACAGGTGAATGGACAGGTACGGGTGCATGGACCAAATACGACAGACTCTTCCGTCTCTGCCTCAGCCTCCGCCTCCGCCTCCTCAGCAGCAGCAGCATCCGCGTCTAGCTCTGGTGCGTCTGTTTATTCGACGGTTTCATTGCCACAGACATTGTCATCCAACGGCAATCTCAAAAGCATCTCCACAACAACAACAACAACAACTACGACAACAACAACTACAACAACAGTTGCTGCAACAGTACCAACTACACCAACAACAACAACTACAATTGATAAACTAAAAACACCAATGACCCAATCCAGCCACGCCCACAATTTAATGGGAAAAGCCGCTCATAAAATTCGTTCACGATTTGTTGCCGTCTCCGAGCCCGTAAATATTCCTTTAACCATTCTTGTCTCTAACAAAGGAGTTTATATATATGTATATGTATATGTATATGTGTATATAAAATTCACTAGCTTAATATTAAATATTAACTTTAAGTCACACCTACTTAAAACATATTTCATAACACTTTGTTTTCCATTCAGTTCTTTGCTTGCGTTTTTCGTGTTGCTTGTTCCTGGTGCACATTTAACTAAATTACACAGTCTCTTCGCATTCTACTATTGCTCCTCCTCCATGTTTGTCTTTCAGTCTAGAGTACATGTAAATAGTTTAGTATATATATACATACATTAATATAGGTATGTATATCTACATATATATGTATATGTATATTACTTCTACTCACTTTTAATGGGAATTTTTGCACTTGTAAAATTTCTTGCAGCTGTCTGTGCATTTTGTTTGTTTCTGTTTCTTGCTTTAACTTTAACTATTTTCCAATTTTCTTAATTGCTTTTTTAAGTCAACCCAACTGCAACTCAGTGTGTAGGGTAGAGTACTTGGGGCGGGCGCTGCATTGGGCGTTGCTAAAGTTAATGTTACATTGAAGTTTACATCGTTTTGCCAGGGCGGGGAATTCCGTTGTATTTTTGTGCCTGTTTGAAATTTAGGTTTCAATATCGAAACATTGAATTTCAACTGACAAATAAATTTGTGGAATAAATTTAAAAGATCTAAAATTTCATATCGAATATTAAATATTTATTTTATAGGTAGCTCTCAATTTTTTAAATTATTATTAATCAATAATTTGTACTCCGCTATATCGAAAATCGCGATAAATTGAAAAAATTCTATCCCCTTGAAAAAAATTCGTTCTCGATAATTTGCATCGAAACATTCGAATTATCGGGACTCGACTGTATTATTATTGCTGTACCTGTATGATATACATATGTTGTTTCCTCAGCTCTTATGGCTTTTTTCCTGAACATTTAGCAACAATCCTTAAACTGATTAATCGCCTTTGCAGCACAAATATAATTATGATAATGATGATGATGACTGTGTGCTGATACTATATTCCTTAGGTACTTCTGTATCTACTTAGACAGATGAGTTTGCAAAATATAATTTATGTACGTGCAGCTCTGGCTAGAAGCGCACGCACACCTAAATGGATTGATTGATGTTGTCTGTGTGTGCAAATGTCCTTTGTAAACATGCATACTAAATATGTATGTAGTCATAGATACATTAGAAAACTCATTAGCTGTGTCCTCAACTGATGAGCACACAAATTTCGTTTTGTTTGCTCTGGTCTAATTGTTGTTAAGCATGAGTTAATAATCCGTTTCATAAGTGGTCGACTCGTATCCATTAATTTATCTTTCTGGCTATAGCACGGATATATCCGTGCCTAATGTGGCAATGGAAATAGCTTTATTTGTTTAACCAGTCGCATGTTCTACAAACTGCAGGCAGCAGCAGCAGCAGTGTGGTTTTCTGGGTTAATCAGCTGCCATATTATATCAGATGGCACTCGCACGCCTACCGAATTATAAATAATATGCAAACAAACAGATTCTTGGTATGAAATTTGCATGAGTCTAATTTATAAATTGCTCATTGCCCATTGAAACCCAAAAGCCGAAACCGCGTACAACAACAACAGCAACAGCAATGCGCCATTGAATGGCACCAAGCCGAGGCGTGTTCCAGTTCTGGATAGTGGCCGGGCGAAGGGTGTTGAGGTGTAGGGTAGAGAGGTCCCACAATGATGATCCAGATTGCAAAATGCATTCTAAATGCAAGGCAATTGAAAAAGATTCGTGCATTTGTGGGTTTCTCGCTGTTAGTAGTTATATACGTACATATGTGTGGATGCATATGTGTGTGTATGCATATGTGTGTGTATGCATGTGTATCTATGTGTATTATACAGTCAATGTCAAAGGCAGGTTCCATTGCTTGGAGAATTGTTTCAATATCAAATAGCTGCGGATATAGTAGACCTAACTAAAATTTTAAAGTAGATATTGAATGATGAGGAAACTGACATAATGGTAATGATAATGATAATTGTATACTAAGGATAATAAGTAATAACTTGATAACACAATCAGAGTAAGAAAACGAATGCTGATGACAATGCAAATGGTGATAATAATCACAATGAATTAAAATTAATAATAATAATAGTAATAGAAAGTGAATGGTAATGGTAATACTAATAATAATGAATAAATAATTTCATTAAAAATAGGAATAATATTATATTAATGATTACAAATAATTTCAAATATTATAAAAAAAATAACAATAAAAGAAAGAAAACTAATGCTAATACTAATGAATAATACGATTAACTTATAATCATAATTATTTTGAATAACCATGAAAATAATCAAAGAAATAACAATGTTAGTTATAATTAGATACAAATAAAATATTATATAATATAATATATATTTATTATATTATCATTCCTATCTAATCCCATTAATAATGATAATATTAGTGATAAAATGATCTAGCCATCACTAGCATAAATTCAAATTATAATCAATGATAATCAAATAAATAGTAGCGCTACCGTAGCAGCAAATTCACTTACTAGGCCAGCAGCAATGCAGGCATCCAATATCAAGTAATATATAGTAGAGCTTAGGACATGAACTTGGTGTGCTCTCGTTGCTGAAATGCAAATTGTGTGTGCCACATTCTCGGCGGCAACTACTTTACATGCAATTCTATTATAATATAGTTTTTCTGATGTATTATTATTATTATTATTATTTTTTTAGTTTTCTGAATTGGTTTTCTCTGCTTCAGTGCCCTTTTATTTATTTGAATGTCTTTGTTTATTTTTGCAAATAAATTTGAATGCATTTTTGTGTGTCAACAATGGACAATTTGCAAAGTGCGCTACGTCTATATTTATTTGACACAGCAACAGCAGCAGCAGCATCAGCTGTGTGTGTGAGTGAGTGAGTGTGTGTGTTTGTGTGTGCGGCATTTGAGTGGCCTGCTTAAAGTACAGCGGGTTATCCAACACGCAGCTAAACCCGGTCAACTAGTTCCAACTATTCAACTAGTTAACTGCTAGCCTGTGGATTAATTTGCATAATTGCTCATAAAGCGAGAGCTCACGCCGCGTTACGCATGTAAACACCCACACACACACACACAGAATGAGAGAGAGACAAACACACACATATGTATATTCACTGACACGCTTATAAATATATATATTATAATAGATAATAGAGTATAGAGCCTTGATGGAATTATGTTAATATCTCAACTCTTGCCCATCTTAGCCGCCATTGTACATCATCACGCCTACTTATCGACGCCCCGAACAGCTGGCGGAGCTGACGCGACTCGGCTACACGCTGAAGCATGTGCTCAACTTGCTCTGGCTGGTCATCGAGGATGCGAACAAGACAAACCCTTTGGTCGCCCACACCCTGGACCGCATTGGCGTGCCCTACGAGTACCTGGTCGGTGAGTATTGCCACTAACAACCTAAAGGTCTGGCGCCCCTTTGCCGCATATTAACGCCCCCTTCTGCCACCCCGTCAGCGCCCATGCCCGAGCAGTATAAGCACACCAAGAAGGCCAAGCCCCGCGGTGTCTCCAATAGGAATCGTGGACTCGACTACTTGCGCGCTAATGCCAGCGAGGGCGTACTGTATTTTGCCGACGATGATAACACCTACGATGTTAACATATTTGAACAGGTGTGTAAAGGCCATTATGGCTAAATACATAAATTAAATGCACTTGAATTGCCTTTGAAACAGAAATAAGATAAATATTTTGATGTAATGCACGAGTTGTTGATAGGTGAGGATGACAGAGAGTTAGAGAGAGAGGGAAAAAGAAACAGATCCCTATTTACCTGATATACATTCTTATATAATATTAATTTATACAATTGTGTTTGCCAATTGCATTGAGAACCGCATAGAAAGGCGCTAGCTATACAGCAAACTGAAAATTTACACTTCTTTTCCCTCCTTATGTAACAAATTGAGCTGTAGTTTTGTATATTGCTTTTGCCGTATATAGTAAAATGGATTTCAGAGGGTCGTCTACATTGTCCATGTATTAGGTCTTTGCTTACATCGATCCTTAAATTGCTCAGTATTTATTATTATTGACGCATGTCGCTATTCTCTCTTTTGCCTTTCGATTGAGTAAATCCAAATATATATACATGCAAATCATTCACCTGTCATAGAGCAATCAACCGGCAAATGAAGCCCTTGTCTGAAAACACATGCTGTAATATCATGACTATGCACGGCTGATTGCCCAGGAAGTAGTAGCTGCTGTATCGGATCGAGCGGCGAGAATTGAGAGTCTGTGTCGAGCATATGCCATCGAGTCTTGAGCATATTTCTGTCTGACGTATGTTAATGATTATTACTAGAGAATAAACAGAGTTTGATTTGAGTATATAAAAGTAAATATATCTGAAAAATACTGCTGGCAAGGCAATTTAAAATATTATTGTCTTCATTCATTTGAGTCTCACGTCTAGCTCTAGTTACAGTTTGTCACAACATATAAAGGCGATTAGAAATAATTAGAAATTATATATTGTGATGTTCAATTAGAAATTTGAAATAGCCTGTTGCATGTTTCTGTTCACTTATTGTCCTTTTCATAGCAGGCTGAAAAAATATTGCCTACAACAATTTAGTTACTTATACGATGTCTACCGACCCAAGAAAATGTAGTTCCAATACTTCAGCTCAATTAATTTCAGTATTATTGAAAAGGAATCTTTTTTTTATACCCTGAACCCATTTTTTTAATATGAATACATCAACTTCCCCACTTGCTTATACCTGTTCAACCAAAATATACTTACAGATGCGCTACACCAAAAAGGTGTCCATGTGGCCCGTGGGCTTGGTAACCAAAACGGGTGTCAGCAGTCCCATCATACGTGAGGGTAAGCTGGATGGCTACTACGACGGCTGGATAGGGGGGCGCAAGTATCCCGTCGATATGGCTGGGTTTGCGGTGAGTGTGAAGTTCCTGCACGAGCGGCCAAACGCAAAGATGCCCTTCAAGCCGGGCTACGAGGAGGATGGCTTTCTGCGCAGCCTGGCGCCGTTGCAGAATAGCGAAATCGAGCTGCTCGCCGACGAATGCCGGGATGTAAGTATGATACAATATAAGCTTTTACATAACTAACTAAAGGCACTTGCCACAGATACTCACCTGGCATACGCAAACGAAAAAGAATCCACCCGCCCAGCCGTTCAATGCGACGCGCTACGCGAACACGAATTTGGCTTTCATTGAGAAGTTGCTGGTGCGACCGTAGGAGCAGGAGCAGATGCAGGAGCCCCCAGTTTGTCCAAGTGTAGTAGTTAGCCTTAGATAGGTATTATATATGCGATTACGATTGTGTACGCAGCGAGTGAGCTCACAAAGTGTCCGCGACTTCGAACCAGTTGTACAGGTACAATCCTGTGTTGAAGTCGTCCTCTTTATATATATACACGAATATCGACTATCGTTAGTTTTGCACAGAGTATATATACCCTGTAAATGATGAGCAGATATAGACGCATATACATATTGTATTAATGTAACTTAGTTAGGCTCTAAGCGCACAAGTTTATACGATATTTGAAGATATGGCCAAGGCCTCTATTGGTTACAGCTGCACACACTAAATACCTTTAGTATTGTATTTTATAATGTCCTCAACCTAAACTATATTATTATAATATACATATATATTGTACAGATTTGCAATACACACGAAGCGAGGCTTAGGCCAATTTTTTGATAAGCGAAAAAGTATTTAAGTGCATTACTTTATGAAAGACAACAGCCTCTATGTTTAAGCTTTAGTTGATAAGGTTCCACGTTCTGCAATTCAAATATGATAATTCGTTGAAAACAAAACACTCAGACAACAATATACACTTTATGGTTTCTGTTCCTAAAATTCCAATTTTGTTTAACTTGACTAAAGTTGATTGCAATTCCTTGATTTATGTATATGTTGTACATTGATTTATGATATTATTTAAATATTATTTACTCAAATGCTGTGTTAATTTTTTCAATTCAATGTAAAGGAGTTCAAGGCCCATTTGGCTGATTGGAAGCGGGGTATGGGGCCAAAGTCGTGCAAAGTATTTATTTATACAGAGCCCATTCGGAATGCAAACAAACAGCAGCTTAAATGTGGGCCGCAACCATTTCAATAATGCATGCCGACAGACAGATAGACAAGCAGACAGACAGTCGGAAAGCCAGTACCAGATAAAGAAGTGCCCGATGATTTGGTCACATGGTCGGTCTGGTGGGAGCACGGACCTAAAATCGCGTGTCAACTGATACCGTGGCTAATGGCAATTGAACGAGCGATAGCTGCAAATAGTTTGGAAACTTCAGATAATGGTCTTGCTGATGGAATTCAATTACAAAGAGTGGCAAAAAATATTAAAAGGAATACAAAATAGACAACAGCATAAAGAAACACATGAAACACAAGAGATACTATTACGAAAAAATATTTAATTACAAATTTCCAACTTACTTTCCAAATTAAAATATCTATATATGTAAATACACAGCTATCGAATCACTAAATATAATACAAAGAAAATAACGAACGAACTCTACAACTTATACATACACTCAAAGAATTACTTAGTTAGGAACTTACCAAATCTTTAAATTTAATAAAAATAATTATAAACTAATCTCAAGGGTAAAAAATCTTCGTGAATTGTTATGGCAACCAAACTAAAATATTCTTATAAATTCTTTAAAGCATACAAGGCGGATGTACGGTACAGCAGCTATTTCAAACTTTAACTTTAACAATACAAAACCAATCTACAATTACGAGTAAACTCTATTCTCCTATTCAGAAAAATATAATTAAAACACATTTTTTAATAAACTGAAAGAAAAAAAAAAACAACAATAAACTCTGGTAAATGGATAAACAAGGAACTTCAATCATTTTTATGCAACATTTAATAATAAAAAATATTTCTTAAATATTTAAAAAATAAATGAAATACTGAGGAAAATAAACAAACAAATCTTGTATTTGGTATGGGGGAATAATAAAAATAGAACTTTGAATAACTTGATAAGCGAATTATTGAAAAATATTCTAAAAACCTAGAGAATATTCTGAAGCCTACTTTTTGGGTTTAAATGCCGATATAGAAAATGATCCAATTTTGTACACCATCAAATTTCATTCCATTCATTTAGTTCAGCCATGAAAACAAATTCATAAAAAATTTCTTGATTAGTTTGACATTTATTAGAATTTAACAAATCATTTATATGTTTGTATGTTTAGTTTATATTTAGGTGCATTGGAGACTTTTGAAGCATGTTGGTGTTACATAATTTGCATAGATATGTCGTCTCTAGTGGCTCCAGGCGGCAACTGGTTGAGTTTTGAGCTCCAGCGATCGCTTTCTTTTGCAGAGAGGCCTCAGTAACATTGTTAAGCAGGCAGATTTGCGTAAAGGATATGAGATTGTTTTTTCTGTTTAGACAAATTTGCCCGTTGTTGATGTTTTTCTGATACTTGTTTACGATACTCGAAATATTTTACGTGTATTTACCATCGCTGTTTGAGAATTTCGTTTCGGATTACGTTTCGATATCTTTTTATATCTTTTTCAAATACCCATTCGCAATATTTAAATGACAGCAACAGTAGAGTCGTTCTATGTAAAGTGCGAGATATAAAACTAAATTCATAGTGCAACTAGTTCAACTAGAAAGCTTACAAATCAAGGCACTAGCTAACTATAATACGATTAGAACTACATTTTGGTCTAGATTTATATTCGATAAAAACTATGTAAGAGTTGACAAAAGTTGGGCTTAATATAGAAGTGGCTTAAGATCTTTTTATAAGCATTGGGGTATAGATAACTTTTAAGCTGTCATTGATCCTATAATGAATGTAAAATTATATTATTCAGAAATACTTAGTCAAAAATAAAAGTTTTTAGATCTGAAACTAATAATTCACATATGCTCTCGTTCGTATGTGTTTGGTTTTTTCTATAATCTATTTAAATAAGCAGTTAGGTAAGATTTGCTCATGGGAGTTATACGAAAGGTTTTTCGAGCATATTCTTGAATGCTTACACTTTGTAGTTTGCAGAGACTTACTTGGCTGGCTGTTAAGAGATAACGACAAATTTTCTATTTATGCTGGTAGAATTATGTGCATAATTTTTCTCGTTGAGAGTTTTGGATTGGTCATTCGCCAAGAAAGTCGATTTATATCATAGATTCAAGAGACAACGTAGCAAGCTGGATGCAATGCCTTAGTGAGTCACTGCTCTATACGAATAGTACTTTTTGATTATAGTTAAATATCAACTAGAGATTGTAATATACCCGAGGGGTTAGATAGGAATTGCTTTGGTTATTGAATAGTTTGCTGTTCGAAATGTGGTTCTACTGTGTGGTACTGAAAAGATAACTCAACATCGATGGCTGCACGTGAAAGCTTATAGTTGCCTCTTCCCACTTGGTATGAATCAAACGCTGCAATGGGGTGTTGAGCGTTGACTCCTCCTTGGCGACCACATCGTTGCCAGCGCTAGCGCCACTAGCAGCACCACCAACACCACCACCGCCGCTAGCGCCAGCCACACCACCACCGGCAGCAGCACCTCCAACGGCCGTGATTGCCTCGTCCTTGGCCTGTTTGCCAACTGTCTGCGAGCTGCTCTCCGGCGTGATTGGTTGTCGCTCCAACATGACCAATGCCTGCTCATTGTAGGTGCGATTATCGATGGTCATCAGTATCTGATGACCCGAACAGCTATAGTAATTCACATCGAAACGTGACTCGGCATGATAATTTCTCAACAGATCCGGATTACGATTGAATATGACGCCATAGTGCCCAGTGCAGCTGGTTATCCAAATCGGGTAGTTGGGCGTCTTCAAGCGAGACCCCGGTTGCCGTGACTGATTGACAGCAGCCTAGCGCAGTGGGAAATCCGGATGAACTTGTTCCTTAGCTTTAACTCGACTCACATTCCACTTACACTTGTTGATTCTGTGTCCCAGAGCAGCAGTCCAATCATGCAACGCTTCAGTACTCCATACTGTGCCACAGCCTGAAATCCAATTGCAAATGGAAATGGAAAACAATGCAAATCTTCATCAAAGCTCTGGCCTATCGAATCTTCCACTCACATAGCTATTCTCATCGCCCACATTGATAACGCCATTGTGTATATAGGGCGTGGCACGCCCTGTCAGCAACAAGGTGACAATCATCAGCGAGCCCTCCTCATGGTTACCCATGGTCAATGGCATCGACTTGCTGGAATCCAGATCCGTGCGCACTCTGTGTAGGTCGCATTGAAAAGAATAATAGATGGATGGGATTATAAAAACTCTTTTATGTCAAATCTAATATGTGGGCGTAAAGTACACTCGCTTTCGCTGAATTCTTACTTTCCCATCGAGCGAGTGAGTACAGCGCTATAAAGAAACAGCAGAGTGCCCGGGGTTTCCTCTTCTGTAAACTTTTGAATGGCATTAGTCAAGTGCACTAAATAAACATAGACTAACAATAAAGGCAACTCAAGCTAAAGAAATCGTTTCATTCAATATTTCGTAAACAATTTCTTTAACTTCTTTTCTTACGTATTGAAAGTTTCGCTTCAAAAAGTGTTCCAGTTCTTCGTTGGGCGAGAGAGTAAAAGTATAGAGCTGTAATAAGAATATATAAATAAAACAGAAAAAATATCTAAAATTAAAAGAGAAAAAATATTGCTGTAAAGAAAATTTTATTAAAAATAATAATAAACCAATATGTGCTGTAATGAAAAAAATAATCCAATAATTAAAAT